CCGAATGGGGGTGATGCGTGGAGCCGTGGGCTGTTCAGGGGCCACTTAACAGGATGGAGCCGCAATTGGGGTCATGGTGCCCGCAGCAGGGTGGGTCTCTGCCCTCCTCCACCCTTCCCCAAGGAAAAAGTACAGGCCGCGCAGCGAGTGCACACCGCCGAGTTATTGCATTCACCATTTATTGCGACAAGAGGAACGGGAGCGTGCAGCCCCGAACCCGCCACCCCTCCCTGCCCACCCCAGCCCCGTCACGGCTCTTCAGGGCCAGGGCTGGGTTCACCAGGCCCCGTTCCCAGGGCACCGAGCGCCTGGTCCGGGGGTCCCGGAGGTGCAGATGGAGCCGTCCCGGGCTCCTCACCGCCTTCCTGCGAGTGGGATGGAGACACCGACACCGACGGGAGGCAGGCGCTTGAAGATTTTCTTAAAGCCCTTCTTGATTTTCCTCCTCAGCTTCTTGAATAGACCCCTGCGGACGCGGTCAGGCTGCGAGAAAGAGAGGCACCCATGAGGGTCTCCAGGGCAGGACCCACCTCTGCCCACCCAGGGGTCCCTTCGGCACCAGCCCTCCCTGCCCAGCCCCGGGCACACGTGCCGGGACCCTGCTGAGCAGGAGCCGGGGGCCAGGGCGGGCGCTGGAGGGGGCACAGACACTCACCAGGGGCTCGGCGGGTTGGCAGGTGACCAGCACCATGAGCGAGGCCTCGGAGCAGGAGAAGGTCCCTGTGCAGTCCAGCACCGCCTGCCGCGGCAGCGAGGAGAGAACGGCTCAGCGCCACGCGTGGCACCTCCGGCACGGCCATGCGCCGGGTTTGCCCGGCCAGACCCCAGCCCAGCCGCCCCCGGCACCGGGAGCTCAAAGGGGCTTAGCCCAGGGGCAGCATTGCCACCCAGTGCCGCCCACCCGGGCACCCGGCCCCTGTGCAAAGGAGGGGTTGCACCCTGCCCCTGTGCCTTCCTCACCCCGCCATCCTTGAAGTCGCACTGGTCCAGGGGCTGGTCCTCGCCCACGGGGCACTCGGTCTCCTTCAGGGTGAACTCCAGCTGCCGCAGGGGATCCGTGCTCGCGTCCTGGGGAGACAGGAGCCCAGGGTTGCTGAGGGGTTGGCAGGGAGCGCTGCCCCGGTGCCCACCACGGCCTGGATGCCCGGCCCAGCGTGTGCTGCAGGGAGCCCCAAGAGACCCTCCCCAACTGGGCCAGGACCCCCAGAGCCCATGGGGCTGCCGTGAGCCACGGCTGGACGCTACAGGTCCTGGTGCATGGAGGAGATGCCCCCACCCTGTCCCCTGGGCTGGGCAGCCCCTTCCCGCCAGCTGTGACCCGCACGGGGCTGGGCTTGGGCACTGCAGGCTGATGCTCACCCAGTCGTCCCGGGACTCTGCCTCCAGGAGCCGGAAGGCGAAGTCCACGCCGGGCCCTTGGTTGTAGACGTCGACGGCCGTGGCCAGGGCCTGGGCGTAGGTCGGCGTGAGCTGTGGTGGGTCGGTGCCAGGGGTGGGCAGCTCGGTGCTGGCTGCCCCGAGCAGGGGCAGGAGCAGGATGACCCAGCAGGTCTGCATGGTGCCGTGGGTCTGGGCTGTGCCGTTGGCTGCAGGGAAGCCCTTTTATGTGTCGTCCAGGGTCTTGTGCAAGGAGGGATGAGTCATGGCCAAGGCACTTGGGGTTTCCCCGGGCTGCAGCTTCCTCGCCCTGGGCACGGCCCCCTCCCTGCTGCCCAGGTGTGCGGGCTGTGCGGGCAGTGAGGATTTTCTGAAGTTGCTCAAACTCCCTGGATTCAGGGCCCCGAGCTCAGCAACGGCAGGGGTGGTCTGGCTCTGCGGCAGACACCGCAGCCCATCCGCGGTGCTCTGCACCCCAGGTCCAGGCAGGTGCTCGTGGGATGATGGCTCAGTTTGTCCTCGTGGATGGGGTGGCAGGAAGCTTATGCATTATCCCAGCATGTGGAGGCATCCTGGCCCCGGAGAAGCTGCAGGAAGGATTGTGTCCATGAGCTGGATCCTTCTGCTTGCCTGTTGCCGAGTACATTTCCAGAGGCAGGGCCCCGGGCCTGGCAGCGAGATGCAAAAGCAGGCCCCAGCTTTGGGAATCCCGGCTCTGATCCCAGTGGCAGGATCCTGTGGAAGATAAGCCTGCCTCGCACACTTAATTCCTGTGCACGTGTAAAAGCACAGGTCTCCTCTGATACTTCAGATCTCGGTCTGGGCATCCCAGCAAAACAGCCTAGCTCAGGGCTTGAGGACCATGCCCCAGTCAAGGGATCTTTAAGATGCAAGTCCTTCTGCACTGCTCGATAACCCGTTCTTTCAAGTGTTGCTGCACCTTCCTGCTTTGGCTTTAGTCTATAAAGTCGTGGAGGGTGCAGACCAAGGGGACGGGGAGCTGTTGTTCACCAAGTCCCTGAATCCCAGAACTAGGGGGCACCTGCTGAAACGAGTAGGTGAAAGAGAGAAAGTACTCTGTAAAGCAACACACCGTTAACTCGTGGAACTCATTGCCGCAGGAGGGGGTGGAGGCAGAGAGCACAGGCAGGCTCAGCATGGGACTGGATACGTTCCTGGATGATTGACCTATTCCTGGCTATTGAACTGACTGGCTGGAGATGTTTCCTCTGCCATCTCCAATGGTGGATGTCAGGGATCATTGTAGGGAAACCATCCACTTCTGCCGCTGTCGGGGAAGGATAGCAAGCTAGATGGATCACTGGTCTGACTCAGCCCGGCTCTGCTTAGGTTTTTATAGCCTCCGGGCAAACTGCAGAGGTTTTCCCAGCAGGTGTTGTAATTACCCCCGAGGGATGATTTTTGACATGCATGAACCAGATTTGCCCAGGTGAGTCACCTTTCCAGCACCCGGGCTCTGAAGCTTGCTGCGGTTGTATCTGTTCATTCAACAACGCCTGAGGTTTCAGGTTTTACGGGGTTTTGCAGGTGTAGAGCCCTTTCATAAGCCCTGCCTAAAACCCCAGGGCTGGTCTCGTCTGGGACCTCTCCAGATCCGTGTATTGTCTGCGTAACATTCAACAGCTCCCTGGCCTTCAGATGTCAGCCCGGTACCTGCAGGGAGCTCGGGAACCTGGAGCCGCTGCTGCAATCACCAGTGATTTCTTCTCCTGTAGGCAGGGCAGCTGGACATATTCCCTTTTACAGCTTCATTCAGATCCCGTGGATCCAGCTGTGATCTTATTTCACCTCACCCTCATTTGTCTACATTTATAATAGTCGGACTCACCCACAGGTCCTTGCCCTTTGCCTACGACATGCACCTGTCCAACATGATGGGACTCTTTTTTAACTCTATCTCTCAGGCTTATTTAGTAGGGAACTGGGCGTATTTAGTCTGGATTAGAGAAGACCGAGGGGGGTTGAATAGCAGCTTCACCTCCCTGCAGGGGGTTGCACAGAGGATGGAGCTGGACTGTCCTCAGAGGGGGCAGATGACAGAACAAGGAGCAATGGGGTCAAGCTGCAGACAGAGAAGTTGAGGTTGGAGATTAGGAAGAACTGTCTCACGAGAGGGTGGTGAAACACTGGAAGTTACCCAGGGAGGTGGTGGACTCTCCATCCTCACTGGAACAGGTTACCCAGAGAAGTTGTTGAATCTCTATCCTTGGAGGTGTTGAAGACCCAGCTTGACAAAGCCCTGGCTGGGATGATGTAGTTGGGGCTGGTCCTGCTTGGAGCAGGGGGTCGGACTAAATGTGACCTCCTGAGCTCCCTTCAACCTTCATTGTCTGTGATTCTGTGATTCAGAAGATAAACCCCGAGATTTCAAATAAGAATCCAGTGTGTTAAACCATTCTGCCTGCTGTGCTTGTTCTACGTTCTTTGCAAAAGAAGAGTTGTTTTGACTCCAGAAAAAAAGCTTAGGTTTTTTACTCCAGAAAAATACTAAAGCTGAAATACTAAAGGGTCCTTGAGTCTAACAAGGTGGAAAACCACTGGTTTAGATGATCTGCTTTTCATGGTTCGGAAGGCAGCAAAACAGATGTTAGCTGCTGCCATGTAAGCAATGACACAGTTGCTGCACAGGTGTCTGACAAGTGTCTGTGTGGTGGGGTCACACCAGGAGGACTCTTTCTCAAGAGAAGAAAAGTGAGAATGGTGCAATGCAAATTGGCCTGTGCAGGTTCCCAACACCCCCCTCTGGCTCCATTGGTGTTCATGGGTGTTCACAGGCCATTTTTCTTTCCTCGTTAGCTGATTCTTAGCTACACTATGCTAATTTAGAGCTCTCTTAATTTTCCCTCTTCAATCATGGTCCCTCCAGCTCCTGGTGTGCTTGTATGCCCACAACAAGCCCCAACTTGCATCACAGCTGTAGTGAGTACTGCTTTGCCGGTTTTCTAGATTTCTCCAGATTATTTAATTGCAATGAAAGTCCATATCTAAGTTCCTGGTGGCCGGGTGAGATTGTGATGATACAACACAGTCGTTCTGGGGAACTTGTGTTAACAGCAAGCTAGAAAACTTTATCAACTCAGAGTAATGTAGCCAGACTTTGATCAACTTTTATGTGAGGATAATCGAGCGTTTTGCTAACATCAGTGAATTGTCTCACAATGCCCTGGGGAAGTGGGCAAGAAGTATGCAAGTTTTATAGATGGGGAACCTGAGGCACGTGGCGGGTAAGGGATGTCCCCGCGCTCCACACATAAGTAACAGAGACCAGATTCTGTAGCTCTTGGTCTTCCTGTTCAGCTGCTTTTTCCAAGAAAAAAGAGGAAACCATTGTGCTGTTCCACCCTCCTCTAGTTTTGCTTAAACAGAAGGTCCCAGACACTGTCTTTCAAGATTTCAGGTGTCTGGAAGAAGCAGGTGCTGATGGATTGGGTTTTGGTGCTTTATCCGGTGACCACACTTTGCTTCTTTAGCACCCCCTTTCTGCATTTTAGTCCAGAAAGGGCTGCGAGCTCAGACCTGGTGGAGGGAAATGGCATTTCCTTGGTAAGATGGCAGGGTTTCACATAAAGGTTTTACCTTTGCATTCCCAGCAGGATGGCAGCAGGGAAATACCACCTGCAAGCTAGGTTTTCCTCACTAGTCTCTGGAGTCTGCTTGGCCGTGTGGTTGGTGGGACCGGGAAGAGTTCTTGGCACTTTGCAGCCTTGCTGGTAAACTCATGGCTGTGTGCACCTTGAGGCAAAGGCATCTTGTTAGACCATGGGTAGGCAGAATCCGGCCAATGGCCAAATCCAGCCCACCAATTGATTGGATCCAGCCCATGGCTGCCCCCATGGCGCTCTGCATGGGGCCAAGCTGTAGCTGCCCGGATACTGCTCAGCTCCCCCAGCCTTCAGTGGCGGCTTCTCCTCTTCCTGCTGCTCCGCTTCGGGTGGGGGGGAGCTGCAGCCAGGCAGATCCTGCCCAGCATGTGGGGCCTCAGCTCCCGCTGCCTTCTACCCCCACTCTGCCTGCCCCCCAACCCACCTCCACCCCTGCCGACTCCAGGCACCTAGCGTGCAGGCAACCCCCCCGACACATATGCACATCCATACTCCCCCCACAACCTCCCCAACATGCATACCCCCACACACACTCCCCCACGCCCCCTCTACACACACACTTCCACCCCACACGCACAATATACAAGAGTAGGTCTTTATTTTGAGAGATTATGCAATTGCCTCTCTATCCACTACTCAAACACATGTAAATCAGGACAGACTTTTTTTTTTAAATAAAATTAAAATATGTTATAGTAGAGGTTTGATTTTTAGTGTAGGATTTGTTGTTGTTTTTCAATCTGTTATTTGTTAACATGCTAGCCTCTAAAAGATTTTATGTGTGCAGCCCTTGACAGCTCACTAAAACTCATTAAGTGGCTCTCCGGCCGAAATAATTGCCCACCCCACTGTCTTCCCTCGTATGCTAAATGGGACTTTGCAACGTGTGCAGACAGCAGCAGTTCGCAGGGATGCTTCTAGGGATAAGTGTCCTTGCGCACACGAAGGACAAAGCCATGCGTGCTATGTCAGTTAATAGGCTCCCTGCCACGATGCAACGTCTCGGTGCAGAGGAGGCTGCTGTGCCTGCTAATAGGTGTTACTGTCATCTCGCCCCCCCGGGGGAACCTGAGAAGTGAGAGAACAGTGCGGATTAGCTGGGGCACGCTTGCGGTGCCAACTGCAACATTTTGTTGCTCACCATCCTGAGTCATGCTAGCGACACACATGGGTATGGTAAGAGAAGCAATCGTGTTTCCCCCCTGGGGAGTGCCGAGGGATGGTTACCTGCACGTATGGCTGTGAACTGGCTCTAGGGCTTCGGTTTTGGTGCCTGCTGTTGTCCTTGTGTTGGAACTCAGATTCTGTCTGTGGCTGTGTCTGGACCACGAGGCTCCTTGTGGGCTGGATCCAGCCTGGGGCATCAGAGTAGCGGCAGCAACAACTCTGGCTGTGGCTCTAGCATGGGCAGATTTGGGGGACAGCGAGGGAGGAGCGGGGGGTAGGTAGAGTTGCAGCAGTAGTGAAAAGCAAAGTAGCCAGAGGGTGACCTGGGTTGTATGAGGCCATCTGCCCCCAGCCACACCCAGCAACTTCCAGCAGCCTGCTGGCCCATGGGCAGTATTTTTGACCCCCCAGTCCTAGCTCAGGGGTTTT